CACGGCTGGAGGCGGGCTGCCGAGAGTGTACGTCGATGCTGGCTTCCACGCGTCGGACGGAATGGCGACGGCAGGCGCGGTTGTAGTCTCAAGCGAAGGGGAGTTTATGTCATGCTTCAATATGCGGTTACCTCATTGCCTGTCCCCATTAATGGCAAAAGCGTTGGCATGTAAGGAAGCATTATCATGGTTGAAGGATAAGGGATTGCTCGCGGTACAGTTACATACGGATTGTCGTAATCTACAACACCACTTGACATCACAAGCCACACGGATGCGAACATATATTGGCTATATCATTGATGGATGCAAGACTATTTTGTCATCTTTTAATTTATGTTCTGTTGTTTACATTCCTAGATTAGAAAATCTTATGGCGCACTCATTAGCGTCGCATGCTTTTACGCAGACTCATACGATGTACTGGGATACTATCCCACCAGATTTTATTGCAGCCTATCTCTAATATAATCACCTTCATTGGTGGCTTTCAAAATAATAGTAATAAGAGTTAATTTCACTTTTTGTCCTAGATTTATAGGTGACAATCCACTTTGTCTTTATATTTAATGAAATTTCAATGATTTTGTTGATGTGGATCAAAAATGGTCATGATATAATAATACTGGAACTAAAAGGGGATGTTCTTATAAAAAGAGACTAAAAGTGAACTATCATTTATAAATATAGTTCAAAAAATGGAATTAACTTAATAATAATAGTTAGAAGGAAAGGGAAATGAAATAAAAAGTTAAAAGTGATACCAACTACCAACAAATTGAATTGGATTGTAGTAGTAACATAGATATACACCTAACTGAGTAAATTAGGAAGGAAATAGGACTATTTACTTTACTTATCTGCAATCAAAACAAATCAAAATATAATAGTGGAGTTGACCAGAATGGCGGGAACATGTGATCACATCTATTCTTCCCACGCGTCTATGTGGGACCCGCCTTCTTCTTCTCTCAACCTCTAAACTGTCCCCCGCCAATCCGCCATATAAGACTATCTTATTCGGTAATATATATATATCCACTTTAAAAAAAAAAACTATAAAAATATTTACACATTTAATGCTTACCTATTAATTTTTCACATTTTCGATCCGTTTGGGATGGAAAAAATTGACTTCTTTATGGATAATATTGAACAGTAAAATATACATTAAAGTGTTTGTAGAGAATAAGCGAATAAATATGACACAAAGATATAATGTGAAAATCATAACACTAAAAATCACAAGTGTCAAAATCCACTACATCTTAACTATAATAAAACTATATGGTTTGGGAAGTAATTAATGTTACAATTAATGCCACAATATCCTTTATTATAAAAAAAAAAAAAGCACAACATTTGAAAAATAAAATAGCTATATATTATATAATCATATAAAAAATGTACTTTTGAAAAATAAAATAGCTATATATTATATAATCATATAAAAAATGTGTTCAATTAGAGTTTAAATTTACTCATACAAAATTTGAAATTTACTTTCCAAATGTAATTATCTTAGTTATTATTCGTATTGTGAAAATTATAATATAGATGAAATACAATTAAGAATAAATCAATGTAATTATGTAAATTTTCTCTATAAGTTTTTTTGAATATGTACATAATTAGAGATTATATTAACCATACAAAATTTTAATTTTAATTTTAATTGTAATTTTGTATTCTATAAAAATAATAAATACTTGGCCAATGGAAGTTCAAAAATATTATTATATTAAACAATTTAAAATATTTTAATTTTTTTATTTTTTATTTATATTTATAATAACATAATTTTTTCCCGTGCATTGCGCGGGTGAATTATTACTAGTATAATGTATAATACATGTACATGCAGTCATTCAATTCGAAGGTGGGAATCAAATAGATGCATATGTACATTTTTTAAAAAGGAAAATAGGCAAGCATGATCGTGCATGCATTTTGGAGTAACAATGACAAGAGCAAGGTATTATTACAAGAGATAAAAGATGCTGCAATATGATCGAAGGTTGCCAAGAATTTATAGATGAAAGAATTATGTTTCAATGGTAATAAATTGAAATGAGGTTTGCGTGAATAATTTATTTTGGGAATAAGGATCAAATAGGTCATCGAACTGCACACAATAATTCAATTAGGCCACTGAACCTAAAAAAAGTTACCATTAGATCCCTAAACTAACCATTTTCTTGCAATTAGTCTAATTTGTAAGTTTTCTAAGTTGCTAGCAGGTTACCTTTACTAAATGAGTGTCGCCGTGTCGGGATCCCCTACATATAATGTATAGTATATGTACATAGGCAGTCATGACTATGGAGTAAAAAGTAAAAATAAAAGTACGTAAAATTTTTAAAATTTAGTAATAAAACATAATGTTTCTATAGTTATTTCTTAGAAATTATTTACGAAAGTGGTTGTAAAAGTGTTCAAAAGATTGTTTAAACCATCTAAATACATAAAAAACTAAAATTAAGAGCTAAAGAAGCATTTTTTTTGAGAAATTAGTGGACCAAACCGCCTTCGGCGTTTGCGGTGGATAGATCTCGAAAAAATACGCGATTTGAAAAAAAAAATTGTCCAAATCAGACAACTGAGTCAAAAGTTATGCCTTCCGAAACTTTTCCGACATTTTCAAAAAAAAAAAAAAAAAAAAAAACCGCCGAACCGGCCGGCCGCGGAGGAGGCCGCGGAGGCCGTTCCTCGTGGCGGCGCAATGGCGCCTAGGCGCGATTTTTGTAACATTGAGTACTATATATATGCCATTTTTTTCTACTCTTTTCTTTTTTTTCTTCAAAATAAGGCTAAGAAGTGCTAATCAACCAATTACAAACATCAATATTACTCCGTAATTATTAAGACATTATACGAAAGATTATTCTGCAGATTAACCAGGTACTGTTTCAAAAGGAGGTAATATGTCTCCAAGATGATTTTACTAGACACTAGTATTACTAAATATGAAAATAATGATAACATATACTATTAAATGGATGGAAAATATATAAAGTAATACAATAACTTTTTTTTCATGTATTTTCTCAACTAATAAGGTACTGTTATTTGAATTGATTTCCGTATTAGGGCGTCAACGAGGTTGAAATACTTGAAATTGATCCTAATTTTTAAAAGTAATATTGAAATCCAAATGATAAGTCACTATAATAATAATATTGGGGATTCAACCTTTATTGGAACAACTATAATAATGTTATAATTTATAATACAAAATTAGGAATAAGGGTCAAATAGGGCATCGAACTGCACATGATAATGCAATTAGGCCACTGAACCTAAAAAATCAACAATTGGGTCCCTAAACTAACCAATTTCAAACAATTCTTTTAATTTGAAGGTTTCCAACAGGTCAACAGGTCATCCTTCCAAATTAATTATTTTTTAAAAATAAATTTTTAAAATTAATTATTTAAATTTAAAAAAATAAACAAATAAACAAAAAAAAACAGTACTGGCCGGAGACAACCTGTTTTTTTTTTTTTTAAACAAAATTTATTATTTATTATTTTTTAAAATTTATTTTTTAAACAAACAATTAATTTGAGAGGATGACCTGTTAACCTGTTGGAAACTTTGAAATTGGAAAAATTGTTTGAAATTGGTTAGTTTAGGGACCTAATTGTTGATTTTTTAGGTTCAGTGGCCTAATTGCATTATCATGTGCAGTTCGATGGCCTATTTGACCCTTATTCCTACAAAATTATTTGTATCTTAAGTATTTATTACGGAGCATTAATTATAGATATAAGAAGCCAACTACCATATAGTGTGATGACAGTGTGGTTACCATTCTAAATGAGCGGTTTAGTGGTCATAAGCTTGAACCCCGATGGTAGGGACTTAGATCAATCATTATTGCGTGGCACACATCTGTATATACCACGATCCAAAAACACATAAAGTACATTATTCTAACTCATAAAATACATTATCTTACCTCATAAATTTCATTATGTTAACACATAAACTATAAAACATATACTACCTTGTAAAATCAATGTTCCCGCCATTACATGGTGTTTGGTTTGAGGGATTTTAAATTCCTTCCTACTTAATTCCCACCTAATTCCAAAGGTCATTAAATTCCATAGTTTGGTTGGAGGAAATTGCAATTCCCCAATTTTCATGGGATTAAAATCCCATGTCCCCCCTGGGATATGATTTTAATTCTTGGGAAAAAAATATAGTGATGAGTCAAAATTACTCCTTCCTTTTTTAACCTAAAATTAATGTCTAACAACAATAATGAACATTTTTGACTTTATACTACTTATTCCCTTTCAATTCCTATGTATACCAAACATTGGAATTGAAATTCTCAGTAATTCTATTCCTGTCAACCAAACACTGGAATTTAAATTCCTACTTTATTTCCAGTAATTCAACTCCCATGAAATTACAATTCCTTGCTCCAACCAAACGCCCTGTTAGGATTCGAACATGTGACCATCCATTTAGAATGAGAGACTTAGATTCTTTGGACTAAAAATATTTAAGAAAGTACAGAATATATACAAAATCAATGCCCCTACCATTAGAGTTCGAATATGTGACCACCTATTTGGAATGATAAGAAATATATAATCAATTACATAGTCGTTGGTCCTAATTATCAATTTATTATAAATCATAAACATTATTGTATAATAAAAAGGCAACAAATTCATATGACACCAACATTGTGTGAACTTTTCAAATTGAACAAGATGATTTTTAAAATTTAGCAATAAATTAAAAGAGTTGTTGGGTTACTGAAGCATAACTAATTTTCGTATCACAAAGTCACAAATTTAATTATATTAAACACTATTTCGACCAAATTTATTGTATAAAAATTTTCTAATATAATTTACAAAAATAAATTTATTTAATATACACCCTGCATTTGCGAGTTTACCCTCTTCAGATGATTCACTCATTCAAGATGCGAGTACAGTAAACGACTAATGTGAAATTTGGGGTAGAAAACAAAAAAAGTATACTCTCTTTCTCTCACTAGATTCCGGACAACCGATTCAAATCCTGTCTCTGTCTTCTCTCTCTCTCCTCCCCATTTCCAACTGATAAAAATGGGAAGACACCTCCATTCTTCTTTCAAGTTTTCCGTCGCTTAAGAAGCAGCTCTGGAGGCACACAGAGAATCGGAAGAAACTGAGCGCCAAAAGATTCAGTCTTCTGATCTTTCGCTCATCTTTCGAACTATGCAACAGAGCTCTATGTCTCCAAGCAACTTCACCTCCAATGTATCCTCCCATGTCCGTATCTCTGATTTCCTTTGAGATATATATATCATTTTTACTTTCCTTTCGTTCATCGCTACCGTTATTCGTAGAATTAGGGTTTTATTCCGTGAATTAAATTTCCCAATTTTGCTGAATTGTTCACTTTTTGTGCTGATCATGGGTGGTTTGTAACTGTTTGATTTCCGTTTTTCTTGAAAATATACTTTTTTTCGGGGGTGTATGTGTTTTGTTCTGATATTTTGGTCTTTTTATTTTCTCGGTTGATTGGGATCAATTGAATTTATTGGTTTGATGAGTGGTGGTTGGGAGCTTTGTATGATTTTGTTAGTTGCTGATCAAATCTTCTCTGCCATGGAATGGGTAGGCTACTGGGAAAATGCTACATATCTCAACAAGGTTTACTCCATTTATATACTTCCTGATTCTGATGAGTTGAAAAGTTAAAAAAGTAAATTAAAAAAAAAAAAACAAAGTGGATCCCCTAGCATCAATGTATAAAAATGGAGTAAAATTTGCAGGGACACCTAGGATAACTCTTAAATAAAATGTGAACTTGCTGCACATATAATTGCCTTCTTATCTTCTTGACAGTTATTTTGTCATTAATTAGTGTGCAATTGCAGTGAATGCATTTCCAAATGGTTTTTATGAGCAGTAGTGTTGGGTTGCTTTGTTACTTTGATTTATGCAATTTATTATCTTGAGTTTATTATACATTTACACTACTACCTGTAAATAGGGAAATGCAATCCTTTTCCAGACAGAGAATGGGCATAGTGAGTCATTTTCTCTCTTGAACTCGGAGAGGGCTGTACAGGAACTTATAGAGCAACCTCTTGTTGATGGAATTGATGATCATCTTATTGAGTTCTCTGAGGCTTTAAGAAGTATGTTATCTCATTATCATAAAAATAGGTAGTTAAAATATGCTACATAATATTAGAATCTAATATTTTAATTCTTCAATTTGTTAGCTGTTGCTAAAACATTAAGGCGAGCCGCAGATGGAAAGGCTTCTGCTCAAGCTGAGGCCACTGAGTGGAAACGCAGATATGAACTAGAGAGGGAGCGTAATCAGCAGTTGGAGCAAAAAGGTATTATGCATATAATATTATCTTGCATCTGCAGAACAATGTAACATGTGCTTGTACATTAAATGATAAAATTCATTGATGACTTCTCTGTCTGCTATATATGCTCAATATTATTAATTCATAAGGAAGAAGTTCCACTTCTCTTCTTCAGTAATGGGCATTATTACATTAGTGGTCATTTTGATTTTTGATAATATACTCTGCTAGGCTGTGCAAGTGATATATGGCCCATTTTGTTGACAATTAGCTTAATCTCTTCTTTCTCTACATGGATTGAGTTTAAAAGACAACAGAAATGGATGGATTGAGGATAAGCAACAACAGAAGAGGAGGTCCCCCAGAAATAAAAAAGGGCCACCTAACACTAATCCATGAAACAAAACCAGAAAGAAGTTGAATAGTGTCCAGAAACTAAATTAAATTCATGATTACTGATCCTCCTACCTTGTATTTTAACGCCCCAAAAGAGTTTCAAAAACATTTGTTTCCGAGGCAAGAATGTATCATTTAGTTGTAATATTTTACCAAAGTATTATTCTGAAGTATGTTGACTTGATTTGCAGCATTGTTTTCAGAAAAGCATAATGTTGAGCATAAGGATGGAAGATTAAAACAGTTGACAGACCAGCCTGTTCAATCAGATGTAACTGCTGAGAAATCTGAAAGGTGCTGTGCAGAGAATGGAATTTGCTCTCATGAAGTTCTTCGAAATGGGGAACCTGACTGTGATACCAATGTTCTCCCACGCAAAATGATGAGAAAGGTAGACACATTTTCTCTATGCCCAGTCAAGTAGTGTATTTTGGTTATTAGTCTCAAACTTTTATCTCATAAGGCACTTGAAATTCAAGAACTGGAACTATAGTTTTTGCTTTCTAAAGTCCATCTTCACTCAACTATGATTTAGAGCTGTTGTTATCATAAAAGATTTTCAGCTGTGATCTTGTCAACAAGCATAATGTTTTCCTTTTTGCAACTTTTGCTGATTATTTTGGCTGTTATTTTCTCAGAATATATTACTTGATAATATTGAGGTGTATATATATATATATATATATATATAATCTCTCTCCCTCTTTTCTTTGGGTCTTGGCTTATGTAACACTAACTAAATTTTTTTGTTGAAAAACAGGCTTCATTTAAGTTATCATGGTGTTGCAAAGGAGAAAAAAGTAATCAGCATAAACATGATATTGTCTCCTTTGAAAAGGGGAATATAACTACTGCAGAACGCAGCAGTAAACAGGTTTTTTATTCAACTCTCAATTGTTAAATTATTATATTGTTCTAATTGGTCAGTATTATACTCAGTAACTTTTACTCTTTTTTTTTTTTTTTTTTTTTTGGCTTGCTGTTTTACATATTGACAACAGACAGAAATTTAATATTAATTAGACTAGTTTTAGGGTTGTGCTGAAGCCTGTGTTTAGGTAACTCCAATAAGTTGCTATTGGTACTTATTTTGTCCATTCCAATTGTTATCTTGTTCTGATTGTTTAGTATTCAAACTACTTTTACATGTTTTGCCTTCTGCTTTCTTACTTTTTAACAACATACAGAAACTTAATACGACCAGATGCTCTTTTCAGATTTCTTTGAAGTGGGAATCTCCCCCCCAAACAGTACTTATTTTGACAAAACCAAATTCAGCTGCAGTTCGAATGCTGTGCTTGGAAATGGTTAGGTATGACATATTGACATCCAAAGTTTTGTTCTTTTGTAACTTGTTGACCACCTGAAGTTTTATTCCAACATTTTGGTGGACTAGGCTAATGTTTTCTTAAAGCCATAAATATTTGAATATCATCCTCTGCAGTTAGAATACGCAAGTGTGAGCCTTGTCTCTTCTTTCTTATAGTTAACATGGTTGTGCATGGTTTGTGCTCCTCTTCTATGCATGCTGATACTTACTCTTTCCTCTGAGGGATACATGGTACACTAAAGTAACTTTGGGAAATTGATTGAAATGGGAAGATTTTGAAATCTTGACAAAAATGGAAAAAAAAGTTTGGGAAATGCATTTGAATCGAAGTGTAAGAAATGCATTTCCTAAATGTGTTTGTGTTGGAGTAAAGAGCAGATGAAGAAGAAACAAACATAGGTGACATATAGTGAATGAAACCAACAAGGATACAAAAGAGTACCGTCCAACAGGGATAATTCCTTACCCAGCTACAATAGCTACTATTTATACTCTAGTACCGCACTACCGTGTAGAAACTAAGTAAACAACATCAATTAAGCAATCTGTCTTCTCCTGATTTCTACTTCTATACCATGAAATTACGCTTCATTTGTGTCTTGCAATTCTGGTGCTTAATTGCCTGGTTGATTTCCCTTTCGATTTGTGTCTTGATTTCCTTTCTTTCTTCGTGAATCACGAATAAACAATCCAATGTTTTGGTGCCTTATCACTGCTGCCCACCCATGAAGCAGCCTTGTCCCCAAGGTTGGAGTGAGGAAATTGACCTCGATAATCAGAAACATTCATCCAAGTGGGGTCATCTTGTGGCCGGTTTTCCCACCGTACCAAAATTTGGGGCACCCCATTCTGCTGATGAGTTGCAAGAATATCTTTAGGAATATAGCCTTGTTCATCTACCGCCATGTCCTCAGGAAGGTGATCATAGGGTGGTTGCCTGTAATCCTCCTTAGTTGAGATACATGAAATACTAGGTGCACTCTAGTTGAAGTTGGTAGTGACAGTCTGTATGCAACCGCACTTAACTTGTTCACAATAGTATATGGCCCATAGTACCACGGAGCAAGATTTTGGTGTATGCGATGTTGGACCAATGATTGGCAATGTGGTTGGAGTTTCAGTTCAACCTTGTCACCTTTCTCAAACTGCAAGTCCTGCTGCCTAGCATTTGCCACTATGGTCATACGGTGTTTTGCTGATTCCAAATTTTAAGGAAGTTGTCTTAGTAGCTCATTCCTATCATTGTGCTCTTTGGCCACTGCCGCTACCTTGAATTCTCCTGGTAAATATTGATGTAGTTTTGGAGGGGGTCGACCATACACAACTTGAAAGGGAGACAACCCGGTGGAGCTTTGAAATGAATATTGTACCAATACTCAGCCCAATGAAGGTATCGTCCCCATTGTTTGGGCTGTTCGTACGCTAAATCCGCAAATATTGTTCTAGGCACCGGTTAAGGAATAAAGAAGTTTCTTAAGAAACAAAGTCTTGATCACTCACTATTGAATGTGGTACCCCGTGTAAACAGACAATCTCCTTTGCAAAGAGGTTTGGCTAGAGACTTAGCGGTGAATGGGTGTAGTAAGCCCACAAAATGGGCATATTTAGTGAAACGGTTGACGACGACGACCCAAATGCAATCTAACCCATTAGATCGAGGTAGCCCGGTGAAGACATGATACAATACAGATTATGGGCTGCCAATCTGCTAAAATTAGTTTAGTTATCTTATTTCCTAGTTTATTAGTAGTTGCCTTTTTACTTTAAGTAACCATATTTTAGAATATTGTTTTTTAAGCTTTTAACTCCTATATATAAGGAGAATATTAGATTGTCTTAGTAAGTTGGAATTTAAATAAAAATCAAAGGGAAGTCTCTTCCTCCAACTCTCTCTTCTCTCATTCTGTTTTTCCTTATTCACAATTGGGAAGAACAAAACCAACCGCTCAAACTCTATCTCTCATAGGCCCATAACGAGGAGTATAACTCGTGAACATATCAATTTGGTTCCCGTTGCCGGCTTTATGGGCAATACCATCACATATGATGCTTTTAAAGCGCTGAAGAAATCTGTTCGTTCCATGGAAGCTCATATCGACAAAATTGAGAACCTCTCTTCTACAATGGCTTCCCTATCTGCAACTCAACACCAACAGGTAGCTTCCTTGGTTAATTTGGAGAGAATGATGAAACAACTTTTGATTGCTCAGGGCAAAATGATACGCGCCCAAAATAAGAGATAGTTTACTCAGAAAAAGGAATGAAGAAAATCAGGCAAATCAGAATACATAAGGAAAGGGATTTGACAAGAATAAAATCAAAGGCACAATCATATCAACAATATCTCATTTTCTATAATTATTTATTTCCTAGCACTATAAATTAGAACCTCAAGATGAGAGTAAATCAGCCAATCTTTATCCTTAGTCTTTAAGCTTTAGTAGCTAGGCAAGAGCCTAAAACTCTTGTTGGGGAAAGCCTTGTGATTTCCTGTTTCTTTATTTCAGTTTCTAGTCAATAAAAATACATCATTGTTCTTTTCTCTAACACAAAACGCCAGTCTCCGAAGCTGAATCAGAAACAATGCACCAACTTGAAGGGGATTCCTTCATCCAGGAACCACCAGGCGATCACCATTCCCTCATTAAATATGCTAAAATGGATTTTCCATTGTTCTCTGGAGATGAAGACCCCAGTGCATGGCTGCTACGTTGTGAATCCTATTTCCGGAATGCCAACATTCCGGACTCAGATCGGATAAATTTTTCCGCACACCATATGATTGGAGAAGCCCAATTATGGTACCATTCTGAAACAGAGTTGATGAAGTTTCCCTCATGGGCTGCCTTCAAAACAGATTCTTGTCTCAGCTTCGGGCCACCACGCAGCATTAATGCTTTAGGTGTACTTAAACAACTGTTTCAAGCAGGAAGACATATCGACGAGTATGTCAAAGAATTTCGCACGCTGTTAGTGAGGGCAGGTACAGTATAACCCAACCAGCGAGTGGATCTGTTTACCTGCGGATTAGATGAAATAATCCGTATATATGTGGAGCGCACAAAACCAACAACACGAATGAAGCCATCAACACAGCCAGGGATTTTTCCCGCAAGTGCCTCTTGTTGGCCTTTTGTCATCCAAGCTTGCCCCTCCACAAACCAGTACACAAAATACCCCGTCATCCGCCTGTGTTCCATTACCCATACGTCCATCACTCAACCCGCAACAACCCAAATTTAAATTCCTCACACCCGAACAGAAGGCCGAGCGCATGGCCAAAAACTTATGCTACAACTGTGATGAAAATTTTTTTCCGGGTCATAAATGCCGCCACCTTTTTATGTTGTGGGCATTAGAAGATAGTGAAGAACCGCCTGGTGTGCTTGCATCCACGGAGGACGTCCCTGAATTAAGCTTGAACGCACGCGATGGAATCACCTAAATTCAACCTGAACGTTGTCACCTGCTTCAAGCTTGAGGACAAGCTTGATCTCCAGGAAGGGTGTAATGATACAATACAGATCATGGGCTGCCAATCTGCTAAAATCAGTTTAGTTATCTTATTTCCTAGTTTATTAGTAGTTGCCTTTTTACTTTAAGTAACCATATTTTAGAATATTGTTTCCTTTATGTCTTAAGCTTTTAACTCCTATATATAGGGAGAATATTAGATTGTCTTAGTAAGTTGGAATTTGAATAAAAATCAAAGGGAAGTCTCTTCCTCCAACTCTCTCTTCTCTCATTCTGTTTTTCCTTATTCACAATTGGGAAGAACAAAACCAACTGCTCAAACTCTATCTCTCATAGGCCCATAATGAGGAGTATAACTCGTGAACATATCATGACACCTATACTCGGAGTCGCTCAGGGATAATTCCTTGTCCAACTACAATAGCTACTATTTCCTCAGAATTATTCGATGCCCTCCACACTAGGGGAGGCTCCTTATTTATAGTCTAATACCGTGTAGAAATTAAGTAAACAACATCAATTAAGCAATCCATCCCATGAATTACGCTCCATTTGTGTCCTTATATTCTGGTGCTTGATTGACTGGCTGATTTGCCTTTCCATTTGTGTCCTGATTTTCTTTCTTTCTTCGTGAATAAACAATCCAACGTTTTGGTGCCTTATCAGTTTGACATAATTGCAAAGCAAATTTCCTAGATATTTTTGGGAAGTAAATTTTATGTCAAACGCATTTTCCAAATGCATTTGACATAAAATGTAATTCCCAGAAATACATCGTATACCTCTATTTACCGTTTATTTTACTATTATAGTACCGGGTATTATTTTTTAATGCCAAACCATTTCCCAAATGTGTTTCCTTTAGTATTCTCTCAATATTCTTCTCCGATTCTCCATATGCTTCTCCACTATGGAGGACCACTTGTGAGCCTGAAGAAATTTGTGTGCAGTGCAGTAACTGAGATTATCTCCTTCACATATTCAAGGATATATGGGATACTAGTATCTTATAACAATTGAAGCTTTAGAATTTCCAAGAATTCAAATACATTGAGGAACATGCTGTAGTAGCTAAGAGGAAAATCTGTTGCCCGTATAAATTCTCAAATGTAAATAATTCAAGTCAACCATTTGATTTATTTGACAGAGGCAAACTGATGAAGAGAATACACCATGGTTGCAAAAATTGCGCCTAGGTGCTAGGTGGCAGCCGGCCGTGTCGAGGAACGCCGGAATCGGCCTCCTCCGCTGCCAGGCGCCTAGGCGGCCGAACCCTTTTTTTTTTGTTATGTTTTTTGTTTTTATTTTGTTTTGTTTTTTGTTTTGTTTTGTTTTGTTTTTTTTTTTTTAAGGTTATTCGCCAAAACGACGTCGTTTTGGCTAATACCCTTAATAAAAAAGAAAAAAATCGGGCACCTAACGTCTTTTTCAACATTGCAATACACTGAGAAAAGTCGAGAAGCAGAGGCAGATCAGAGAAGAATACTGAGGGAATATGGAAGAATAATTTGTATGGTCAAACACATTTGGGAAATGTGTTTGGCATTAAAAGATACAAAATAAAAAATAAACCCTAAATACAAATACATGGTATATTTTTGGGAATTAAATTTATGTTAATGCATTTCCCAAATAGGTGTTTGAATGAAAGTACTTCCTAGAAATATCCAGGATTATTGGTTTTTAAATTTTGTCAAACGCATTTCCCAAATGTGTTTCTAACATACTTTGACTCAAAACGCATTCCCAAACTAGTTTTGTCCATTTTTATCCATATTTTAAAGTTTTCTGTTTTTGTTCGTGCCTCACCAAATCTTCCCATTTTTGTCAATTTCCCTAGAAACTTCTCCTCTAACAAAAATGTATGTTCCGCATTCTCTGTCTCTCTTTCTTCCTTCAAAGGTTGATTTCCACCATTGAGTGGGGACTCGGCTAATGAGTATCATTAAGCCATTATATGTAAAATTTCTCCACTGCAGTAAGAACATGCAGACAGTCTTGTTTCTTCTAACAGTAAACATGGTTGTGCATGGGTTGCACTCTTTTTTTTATATGCTTATTACTTTTGTGCTTGACTGTTTCTTTTTTGTACCACATTAGCAGTTACTCTTTCCTCTGGAGTATATGGCAAAGTACTTTTTACCTATAAAAAAGACATCTTTGTCTCTTTATCTTTCTTCATCAAATGGTTGGTTTCCTCTGGAAGAAGTGGAGAGCTTGATGAAATGCCTTTAGAATACTTACAGCACACCTTTTTTCTATGTGCTTTGTAGGCTAGGGTAGGATCTAAAAACCCAAATGATTGATACCAAGTATGTTACATAGGTTTCTTTTGCAAATATGAATAATGTTATAAACTTCAGGCCTTCAGCCATGTAATCAAACTGTCTTTGTGATATTTATTTCAAGTCATTAAAACAGAGTTATTGGGTGCCAAATGAGAGAACGGATGTAGAGAGGAAAATGGATGACATTCAAACTCCCCTTTTTCACCATCTTTATTTTATTTTTTTTAATTTTATTTTTTAGTTTGGGGTTTGTTGGCATCATACACAGATTTCTCTTAGTTCAATTTTAATTCCATCAAATTGTTGGCCACTAACGGGAAATGCCATTCATGATCACCTGCATTAGAATATGAATAGGCAAAGCGTGCTCACAACTCACAGAGCATTTTCACCATTTGGTCTTAAACGTGGGGGAGTGTATGTGTATCCCTCTCTGACACATGCACAGAGTAAAACTAAAAGGGCATTGTTTCTGTTTAAATTCTTGTGCAGTTTTAATTGGTGCTATCTGGGTTTCAATCTATTTAAGCTGTATAATGTTTTGTTTGGATTTCAGATGGTTGAAGGAGCAGAAAAATTTGAACATTTTTGTTGAACCACGAGTAAGAGCTGAACTTTTATCAGAGTTATCGTACTACAACTTTGTACAGACATGGGAGGATGGTAAGTTCTATGATCTGTTAAATTTTAGCGAGTACATGTTGGAAAATTGTCTTCAAAAAAGTAAGTACAGATAATATGAACTCTGCAATTGATGTTTCTTCTGCCAATTTATATATCTATCTATACCCAAACCCAATAGCATCCACAGTTATTGTGATAAAAATACTGGCTGAGAACTGCAAACAATTTCCGTTTATTGAGCTGAAGGATTCACTCACGTAACTGCCAAGCAGTTGCAAGAAACTTTACAAAAGGCAATTTAGGAATACTCTTAACTATTCCAAGACAAAAACATCATACCTTCTCTTTGTAGTTCTTTAGGTCAGTAGTTGTAATGATTTTTCTGCACTTGATAGATGTTTGCTGTCATTCTATGTCATACATTGCAGTTGAAAGTTGTTGTCCTGAGTTGTGTTAAAGCATTGATAAAGTGATCTTGTTTGTGCTTGTTACTCCAGACGAGGAAATTCCGCTTCTGCACACCAAAGTTGATCTTGTTGTTACTCTTGGTGGAGATGGGACTGTCCTTTGGGTATGTGGCTGATGCACTGACTTTTGTCTTTTCCTTCTCATGAAACTGCTTGAAGCACTAAAACAATCGTTCCCTTAATATCTCTAGTTCATCTAGCATTTTGGCTTTCTTGTTTGTCTGTGTGTGTGTGTTTACGCATTAGGTATTATTAATCTATATATGTGGACAAAAGACTTCATTCGCAAATTTTGTGCTGCCTACTAGGTTAACTCTGTAACTTATAGTTTGTGGTATTGAAGTGTTGACTAGAAATGGTTAAGCTGAAAAAAATCATGTCTTGCTACCTAAGCTTGAAAAGAAATTCTATTTATAGTTAAGTGCTATATTTGTATTCTATCTTCTTTTCCCTTTCCATTATTATTATTATTTTTAAAAAAATTGTCTTTAGCTGTTATCATTTTCTCCTCTGATATGGTCTGAATTGCATGCAGGCAGCATCAATGTTCAAAGGCCCTGTTCCACCAGTTGTTTCATTTTCTTTAGGCTCTCTGGGCTTCATGACCCCTTTCTGTATCCTTCTCTAATTTTTGAAGCAAAGACATTAAAGTTGTTGTGACTTACATATATTCAAAGTGATAGCTTCTCCACCTTATGTTTCCAGTTACCTTAACATCTTTTAGATAGCGAACATTATAGGCAATACTTAAGTTCAATTCTTCGAGGTCCCATTAACATCACATTAAGGCATCGACTGCAATGCCATGTGATCCGAGATACTGCTAAAAATGAATTTGAAACAGAAGGGCCTATGCTTGTTCTCAATGAGGTTACGATTGACCGTGGGATTTCATCATTTCTCACAAACCTAGAATGTTATTGTGACAACTCATTTGTCACCTGTGTACAAGGGGATGGTTTAATTTTGTCTACAACATCTGGAAGCACTGCCTATTCACTTGCAGCAGGAGGGTCTATGGTTCATCCTCAGGTATAACCACTTCCAACTATTGGTTGTGCATGCTTTACTCTGTTGCTTCTTGTTAGCTTTGCATGAATACACTGCCATTCCACGGAAATGATTTTCTTCAAGGGTGGCAAATATCTTTCTTAGCTTGAATATATTTGCATAGGTTGAATTTTTGTTATGTTATTCTTGAAAGCTCTTTCTACTTTGTGTCACCAGTTAATAACAAAAACAATAATGATGATAGAACATGAAAGTTACCCATCTGAATGATTTTTTTTTTTTTTTTTTTTTTTTTTTTTTTTTAAATGATCCTCTGGATTACTTTGTGATTGATGTCTGTTTAGACATTCTCGTCTGTACTGCAAAATCCACTTTGAGTATTTATTTGAAGCTGTATATCTATCTGATTCCAGGTACCTGGCATCCTGTTCACACCAATCTGCCCGCATTCCCTATCCTTCAGGCCTCTGATCTTACCTGAGCACGTGACCATTCGAGTGGTGGTGCCATTCAATAGCAGGGGCCATGCTTGGGCATCATTTGATGGCAAAGACAGAAAACGACTGGCACCCGGTGATGCACTTATCTGTAGCATGGCGCCTTGGCCGGTCCCAACTGCTTGTCAAGTTGATTCAACCACTGACTTCTTACGCAGCATCCATGACGGCCTCCATTGGAACCTGAGGAAGACTCAATCTTTTGATGGCCCTCGGGAATCTCTTTGAAGTGCGCTGTACGCAGAAAATTGGTAGTATTATCTGACATGACTCCGTCAGACTATCCTCTTATATATATAGTGTAAACAGGAGCATAACAATAGTAAAAGAAAATGAAGTTAATTTGTAGTAGCCTAGCTATGAAGTTATTACATAGCTATGCCATTCTGCACCTTCCTTGCCTTAGCATAATTAATATTTGTAAAAGTTTTTACATCTTTTTGGTTTGGGTGTGTAGAAATAGATTGGAGCAAGACTAAATTATTTACTGTACTTTTTAACAAGTGAAATAGGGAATTTTTACAGTGCTGAAGAATACCTGTAATTTTTTGTATAAGCCTTTAGGTATAATAGGTTATATTAGACAGGCCTGTGCACGGTTGGGTTCGGACGGTTCGGTTTCCGGATTAGTCCACCCGATCGGATTTCGGTTTTCAAAATCTAAGTCCTATTTGACTATTTTTTGGACTATACTCCTTTCGGGTTTTTGTGATTCGGATATCGGACGGTTTGGATATCAGCTCGGGTAAATTCAGATTTAATATTCAACAAACTTAAGTAAAAAACTAGTTAAAATGCCATATCAAATCATCAAATGGATATCCCAAATAAGTCAATAACTAATGCCTGGGCAGCCTGGTAAAAATGTAAAATGTCAAGACTTCATATCTTGTAAAAGCCTTTAGTTGCATACAAGATACTGAAGTCTGACTCTAAAGATGGAACTATTCAACTATACAAAGTTACTTAGTTACAAGTTACAAATGACAAAAATGCAAAATGATTTATACAATCATTGAATCATGCATTCTGACATTCAACTCATACATGATAAACTGATAATGACAAAAAATTCAAATATCAGCATTCATCAATCATCATCTTCCTGTGAACAAAAATTCCATAATCCCTATATAAGGCATTCAGGCCTCAGGCTATCATCTATTCAGCTTTCATGATATTCCTGTGTAAGTGTGTAAAGACAAAACACAAATTAAATATAACCAATTAAACAGTTTGGGGATTGGGGATGTTGGGCAGAAAAATGGAACTATGGAAGGCTCAGATTGCTATGTTTTCATGTCAAAGTAAGATTGAGGGCAAATTGCTACTTTCAGGATTGGAATGCAATTATGCGAACCAAAACTAATGAGCAACATACCAACCCAAAACCATTTCAGACAATGGTGGAAGCATCATCATAGCCAAATCAGTAAAGAGAAATAACATACTGAAAACTTGAGAATAAGTGACTAAGCCAAATCAGTAAAGAGAAATAACATACTGAGAACTTGAGAATAAGTGACTAAGGTAGAGTGACTGTTATTACCAGATGAGATGACATTCATATAGGCAGTAGGCTGATACAGTTATATTCACTTATACCTGGTGGGATCATACTTATCATAGGCAGCAACAAATCCAACAATTGAATTGTTAGTTAGTTACCAAGCCATTAATCCATAACCTTGCTCCTTAATCCACTTTTCCTCATTGAAAATAAAATCAGAATTTAGTGAATATGTAAATAAAACATTACAGAAATGGTAGGAAGGGGAAAACCAGCAGCCCCAGATCCTGTGGTTCCAATTCGACTTACTCCTGTAGCCAAGTCTGCAAATTGCAAATAAAAATAAATAAAATTAGAATTTGAATGCAAATTTAAAAAGGTAAAAACAGAATGAAAAATTTAAATAAATTACCTTGTTCAAGCTTTTCAACATCATCAATATTTTCCTCAACCTTAACCGGTTGATTTGGTAACCTCATCCAGTCTTGTGCACATACTAGGGCCTCCACAATTTTAGGAGTTAAAGAACTCCTAAATGCATCTAATACCCTCCCACTAGTACTAAATGTACTTTCTCAGGCAACAGTGGAAATAGGAACTACTAGGATATCCCTTGCCATTTTGGAGAGAGTAGGAAACCTCTCACTATTTAGCTTCCACCACCTAAGAATATCAAAGTCAGGAGTGTCATCCACAATTTTTTCACTTAAATAGACTTGAAGCTCTGTTTCTTTATAGCTTCCACTAGCCTCCATTTTTTGCCTTTTTAGTTTGTTCTTTAACATATTTTGAGGTCTACCAATTGTGGTATGAGACTGGACAGGAGACACATCTGGTTGGCTACCAGAAGATGAATCAGAAGATGATTGTTGCACATTGACAGAGTAGGTTGCTGCATAGTCACCAAACAATTCTACCATGGTAGCTTGGACATTCTCTAAACACTTCTTCCCATTATCTTTACCATACAGTTCCTCAAACTGGTATGACATATATTCCCACTTATCTCTTGGGTCCAAGATATTGACAAAGAAGATCAAGGAATTCATTTTTTCAGGATCTCCCCAATACTTTTCAAATTTAGTTTTCATTTGGGATCCTATAACCTAAGAAAACAATGAATTAAATACAAATAGCCAAACACAAATTCATAAATAATCAGATTAACCACTGAAAATGATAAAATCAAAAATAAGATTTTTCATTACCTCTGTAGCACTACCAGCAACAATCATGCTACTCAACATGCAACTCAAATCAGATATCTCACTGAAGAAACTGTTAGAGAACCAGAGATTCTAACTTTCATCCCATAAAACCTTTTCAACAGAACTACCAAGCATTCAACAGATGTCCAGTCAAGAAAGAAGGGACATAATCACCTAGATCAGCAGCAAATGAGGGCTCATTCAATGAATATGCATCAAACATAGCCTTGTATTGTATGGCAGTGCTAAGCATCATGTATGTGCTGTTCCATCTTGTTCGAACATCTATTTATAAAGAACTTTTTGCTTCCACCCCAAGCAGTTCTGCAAGATCTCTGAATTTTTTGAGTCTTGTAGGTGAGTTCCTCATCTATCTAATAGAATTCCTCACCTTCTTAACAGAACTATCTGCAAATTTTAACCCATCCTGGACCAACAAGTTTAAAATGTGGGCTATGCACCTCATGTGAATGTACTTACTCCTAACAGTGGTTGCACCACAAGACAACAATTTGGACTTTAAAAAACCCCATAGCAGTATCATTGGAAGAAGCATTATCTACAATGACAGAAAAAACATCCCTAATCCCCCAGTCAATCAAACAACTCTCTAATGCCTTAGCTATATGCTCACCCTTGTGAGAAGAAATAAGGATAAAGGATATGATTTTCTTATTCAGCTTCTACTGATCATCTATGAAATGGGTTGTAATGCACATATAATTGATCCTCTGCACAGAGGTCCAGGTATCAGTAGTCAAACTAACCCTTTGAGTGTTAAGTCTAAACATCATCTTAAGGTTTAATCTTTCATCAAGGTAAATTTGGTAAATGCCCCTTGAAATTGTCCACCTAGAAGGTATACAAAATCTAGGGCAAGCAACCAAAATAAACCTTTTAAACCCTTGCCCCTCCACAAACCTAAATGGAAGCTCATCAATACTTATCATCTCACATAATGCCCTCTTAATGACTTCCTGATTGAAAACCCAAGTCCCTAACTCCCTCAACAACCCCTTCAGAACCCCCCGAGTATCAAATGTTGTCACAACAGTGAAAGTAAGCAGTGACTGCCTAGTCTCCTTAGAATGTGGATTTTTTAGACAGGTAACCATATGATTTTTTAAAGAGGTAGTGTCATGCTTTTTACTCTCACATTGATAGACTTTAGCACAGTATAGACATTTCCCCTTTATTACTTTGTTTTCAGAATCAAAGATCTTTTCAAAATGTTCCCAGGCCTTAGATCTAGACTCAACATTCTTCCTCTTCTTCGCAGGAACAACATGATTAACCTCAGGCTGCTGAGGAGCATTTGTCTCAGTGTCTTGGGTTACTCCTCCATGCCCCTCCTCAGTTGAGGGTGGAAGTCCATATTGAGTCATTTGGGTGGCACTATCCATCTACAAACATGGGCACCAGTTTTCACTTTTCAGTTTGTGAGAGTGTGACAGAACACTAGAACAACCACATAATAAACAATTAAACATACAAAGAAATTCAGAATCAGACACAGTAGTTTGTGTCATCATTTCTCCAGATTTAACAATTAGCAATTAAGGGTCATACATCCATAAAGATAATAACATATACAATTATACAAACAAATCCAGATTCAGGAACTCACTCCAGTTCATCATTATCTGGATTTGAATTAATTGTTAAGGGCTTCCACCAATAAATAGAAATTCCAACACTGGAGATTTCACATTTAAGCCTTTAACTCGGATTGGGAGATTACAAATTTACAAGGCAGAAAATCCAGAATTCACAAAATCAACATTCAGAAATCAGTTTCTAAAAGGCTTCCACCAATAAATGAAATAATGGCATAATATATGAATATATCACCAAATATTCATCACACTCTCACAGAGTTACAGAAGACTAGAAGAGACAGAACACAATACATCTCAGTATCTCACATAAATCAAGATATATAAAACTAGGGTTTTCGGTTTCACAATGCTTTATCAAAATATTCACCACAGATCATCATAATAATATAATATAACACAAAGTCACAAACATTTCTTAATATGACATAGGGTTTACGAATTACTTGATTTCTCCCAAATAATCCTCGGAGAACAAGGACTTCTAATCACCAGTTCACCACGGCTTCCACCACTCAGAGACAGAGAGTAAGAGATTGCAACGCTGAGAAGCCTGAGATTAGAGATTAAGAGATTAGAGATTACAGATTACAGATTAGAGAGTAAGAGATTAGAGATTAGAGAGTAAGAGATTAGAGCTTACAGATTTACAGAATCGGAGAAGGGGTAGAACAACGCTGAGAAATGAGAAGTGAGAACAAGAGACTGAGAGAACTAAGACTCTGAGAGAGTGAGAGATGAGATCTCAAACCCTAGGTCAGCTGCGCAAAGGAGAATGAAGACCAAGTCTACATCCGCATACATATATACCTTGATGGAACGACGTCGTTTAGTACATAGCTTTGTGAACCCTAGGATAGTTCGAATATTCGGACGGGTCGGTTGTCAAATTAGCATACCCCACCCGAACCCTCTTAACCGACGACGTTTTGAAACGCGGATCGGGTATAGAGTCGGGTTCAGGTATTACCGGGTTGGTCTCTCTCGGTCGTCGGGTCGGACGGTTTTGTCGGGTGGGTCGGGTTGTGCACATGCCTAATATTAGATACGGTTAACTCCCGCTCTTATAGTAATTGGTATAACTAATAATTCAATATACATGTTTGCACTTGGCATAAAAGGCAAGGGCAAATTATGCTATGGACCCGTCATGGTGGACACGCTATACATTCATAATTTCTATACTGTAGATTCATAA